TGATAAGATACTGTATAATCAGGGCCTCATCACAAAGCTTCACCATCACTAAGGTTATTTCTTTGGGTGTATACAAGACTCTCATATGTTTCATAGAGTTATGATTTTGAATTTTTTCCTTAGCTGGATTTCTAACAATCACAAGGAAAGAACAGGAGATATGAAAGATTCATTATTTGTGACAGTTTTTCATTTAATTTAAGGACATGTTAATGAAATGGATGAGCTACTTCCAATCTAACAGCTTTTAGGTCAATCCCTAACAAAACATTTATTTAATAAATTTAAATTAATTTCATCAACATAATGGAAACTCCTCCACATCAGATAATGTCCATGAACAAAGGCAGCACTTCTTATCAATTTAAAAAAGAATATGAGTCCTTTTTACTCAAGAAAGTGAATCAGTACAGTACTTCGGCTGAATCAATTGATCATGAGTTCTACGGTAGTTCATTTCAGCTCTCTTATTGGCATCTCAAGTTGCAGGCATGCAGGCACTTTATCTGCACAGACACATTGTATAATAAGAAAAAGCAGCAATCAATCAATGGAATAATGAACAGGAAGCAGTGGTGGAAATGACGGGCGTTCAGGAGCCACGTGCGAGGAACCCATTTTTTAATCATGCCCTATAGTGTAAAAACGCTCAATTCTTCCAAAAATACACGTTCTGCGCCAGTCGCCGCTCGAAATTCTGATACCACGTCTGGACGTAGGATAGCGGCACGAAGATCTCGTTGGGAGCGGGCGACATCTGTCCCTGCGTCTGACTGAAACTCGTCACAAAGTTGAGAAACGACTCCAACATCCGCTGAGTGAATTCCACGAAGCCCACGGCTGCCAATTCAGCGGATGTTTCCACTGCTGGTGTCATGGAGCGAAGCACTTGCAGGGGTTCCAGGGAAATGCCGATTTGGGCGTTGTGCGTCACCTTCTGGCCAAAGCCCACAGGGACAGAGGACGCCTCCAGGCCGCTCGACTTGAGCCGGGATATGCGGAATATCGCCGAGGGCTTTTCGTTTGAGATCTGTCCGAGGTATTGCCATTGAGGAGGAGCTTCCGCACTTGGCCAACTGAAGTACACTGGGCAAAAAAAAAAAATATTAAGAATTTTCTCCCTGTACAACTTTGGAAAATAATATTCCGAAATTTGTTTCCGAAAATAAAAATTTAAAAACATATTGACCATCATGTGGAAACTACTTCTGAGCTTTGCCAAAAACCAGGAAATTTCCCCATAGATAATTTAAA